ATTTGGAAGTAACTTAATATTTATTTTTATCTTTATTTTTTTGCTTAGCCAGGATTTTTTGTTATAATAAACTAGTCAAATATGTGTAATGTGTGACAAGTTAATAATTTTTTGTGTGGACTCAAAATATTCTAATTAATTCTCTTATTTAACGGGTGACGCACGATTTGTGTCGAGTAACCCATCTATTAAACGAGTCGTGTATGCATGAGTATAATAGTTAAACCCGTTTATATAAACGAATGAGGTATGAAATGAGAGCTTTTTTGACATAAACCCGTTTCACCCAATACAACATCGTTCCACCCGACACGATTGACAATCCTACATATAACTCATTCACCATTGTTAGATAATTGAGCCCATAAACTTTTAATAATAATAAATGTATTGCATGAGTTGGTATGAGAAATTTGGTGACATGGTGGTTGATTTTTTTTAAGGCGGCGTGGATGAGACTCTTGGGATGACTCTGCCTACTCCCTTGATGATGTAGTGCCTCGAACCTTAATGAGTTGGATTGGACGTGAACCTGTTTTGAGTTGGACCTATTGGATTTTCTTTATTCAGACTGAGCTTATAACTTGAGTTAGGCCTTTTGGCCTGACCCATCAATTACTTCGAAAACTTTGAACGAAATTTATATGTAGGCACTCATAAACATTTTATCTATATTAATTATTCTTTTGTAATTTCTGCATTTATTCACAGACAAGCTTTCATTGTTTTTATTTTATCCATGTATTATATTGAACAAGGAAACTTGTAATTATTCTTTGTTTTTTTTGAGTTATTTGGTGTTGTGTTATTCAATACAAATTATTTTGTTGCTATAACAATTGTTAATTTGTTGTTAATCTTATTATTATAAAATTAATTTATATCTTTTATATTATGTGTAGATGATATGGAAAGACCTCCTCTTTATGTACGTCATGGTGCATGCTTGGCGGTATTTAGTATAGTGGACAAATTTGAAAATAATTTCTTTGTTGATGGAACCTCAATTTACGAGTTTGGGCTTGAAAAAATTGAATTAGGTCGTATGTTACAGAATGCATGAAATGGAGAAGACAACAGAGACTCTCCCTCCCACTTGTAATAATGCAAAGGAAAAAAAAAATCCATCGTGACTAACCAACTTGTGCAGTACAATTTGCACAATTGTTAGTGGAAGCGGAGCACAATATACATCCATTGAGCAAGAAAAATGGATTTAGGATCAAACGTTAGAGATCATATTTTAAAGAAAAAGTAATTAAATTCCAAACTCAAGAGAAAATGTTTTAGTCAGAATACTCCGATATCATTGTGTGCTATTGTTAACATGCATCCAGCTACATGACCGATTGACATCATTCATAAAAGTTTGAGAATGCTTTATGAACGTAAAAGTACTACAGTAAGATGTTAGAGAAAAATAAAAAAAAGACATAATCTGCTCACAAGCATTAGATGTCGAGGAGGTTTAACTAAGAAACGACGAACATCTAAACAAATGGAGCAATACCTTTCAGGTAAAGATATTTTCTCAGTTTTATTTTACTTTATCATTCAAATGTGGAAGAATTTATATGTTTTTAGAGAATGACAAAACATCTAATAAAATATTTTTATTTCAGGCTGTACGTAATCTTTTTGGATTTCGCTGGAGTTTGCGATAGTAATTTTTAATTTTTTTTTGATAGCATCTGGGTACTTAATTTTGTATATGGGATCACGGTTGCAATTTTTATCCCATTAGTGAGGAATTCTATTAATGTGGATTTCATGATTCTATTATAATAAGATCTGACATTTTCATATTGTTATATTGAACTTTGACTTTAAAAGTTAATGTTTTATTATTTGNGAAAAATTAGTAACTCTCAAAAATATAAATTAATTGACAATTACTCATGCCTAAAAACACTATGTAACCAAATCATAGACTGTCATGCATACCTCTTTCAAACCTATCACCAACTTCCAACAAAAAAAAAAAATATCCCAAGCCAACATAACAAAGATCAAAATCACCAAATAGTAGCTAAGTTTTAAAACGAAAGAAAAGTTCCAATTCTTAAAAGGTAAAGCAAAATAAAATCAATCCTCCAAGAATAAAAATATTGTTTCCATTATGCAACATAGATGTTGAAATGCAATGTCACTCAATTTGTATGAAATAATCTATACCAATGTAGTGACTAACCCACTTTCATTACTCGAAACCAAACTTAATTCACTTTTTCCCAATTCAATGTTATTTTCACCATACTCACACTTCAACCCGAAACACCAAAATAATCAACAATTTAATCTAAACTCAAACAAATAATATTAGCACTATATGAAATGTGAACTAATTTGACCATTTCACTATATGGCATGGATCAATTTCAAAAAGATCATCAACATTCAATTCACATAACAAAAAGTTAATCCAATAGAACAATTACCCAACAATTACATTAAGACTGATTACTACAACTTTAGAATTGATTACCTAAGTGCAGGTTGTCACGAAATAATATAATACTCGAAGTCCGAGGTTGAACCACATGGAATTGAGCAAACTTAGAACACAAGAAAAATAAAAGAAAAGTACTTTGAAAATTGTTTGGAGAAATTTGTTTGTTCGGAAGAACAAAAATTGTTTGGTTAAAAACAAAAATTTTAAATATTAAAGCATCGGGATATCCTTTTAAATTCACACAACAATTATTAATGATTCAGTTTTTAAACTCAATTGAGAATTAACTAAGGAGTGATCTTAATTGAAATATTTGGCGGTAATAATATGAAAACATCTAACATACAGTAAATAACTTAATTGAATAAAACTAAGAATTTACTTGTAAATCAGAAAAATTCACCGTGCCCGGAGTCTAAGACAAATCAAGCTTTTCAACAAGTAAACTCTAATTTTATAACAAACAAGCAATTAACTATTTTTATGAAAAATTCTAGTTAATTAATTCAAGAATGGAATAACTAGTTATTTGACTTGTAGGGAATCTAAAGTATTCGATGTACGTGGTGCAACGAATCAATAAATTATACAGAGTAAAAACTTTACAAAAAGACAATAATTAAATTAAAAAATAGATTATGCTTTAAAAAAAAGTATTGAATAAAAAATAATACAATACTTCATTAAAAGTATCTCCCTAACCTATAGTTAAGAATTTAGTAAGGTATCATAAAAATACACTAAAATCTAGAAAGGAAAAGGTTAGAAAAAGAATGTTCTCTTAACCGGTGAGACTTGAGTTGAGAGCCTTTATTTGTACTAAAACCTAAGTATAGGTAGGAGATCTAGAGTTGACTTGAGAGAAATTCCTTTCTAAAAATAAGTCTTTTAAGGTAAAATCTCGGGCACCAAATTTTGGGGGCGCGGGTACCATATTTGCCTAGACTTTGAGTTCAATTTTTGCATAGTTAGAGATCTTTTCACAAAATTTTGAAATAAACCTTGAAGTCTTCATTCCAAACCCATAAAAATCAAGTAAATCGGATATCGGGAGTAAAAACTTAGGACCGAAATACTGAATATGTGTCAAAACCTTATCTTCTAGAATACTTTTTTAATTCAACTCTAAATGAGTTTATTACTAATTTAGACTCTCATTAGTATTAAATTGTTGCATTTATCTTCAAATCTTTATATCTTAATCTTTACTCTTCAATCCTTATTAATTGTGATTCTTCATCGATTGTTTGTTTTACTTGTCTTATTTATTATTACTTTAAATCAATCAAATTACTTGCAAAATAAATCAAAAAATTAGAAAAATATCAAACTAGAAATTAAGGAATCTAACACACTGAATCAGCTCCACTCGGCAGACGAAAATATCGAAGCAAGGATGTGGAGGATCGGCGGGCAACAAGTTTCGCATGTCGCTGGGTCTGTCGGTGGCGGCGACGGTTAACTGTGCCGATAACCCGAGCGAAGAACCTCTACATCATATCAGTGAAGGGAATCAAGGGCCGATTGAACCGGTTACCTTCGGCTTTTGTTGGTGATATGGTGATGGCCACAGTGAAGAAAGGCAAGCCTGATCTCCGTAAGAAGGTCATGCCTGCTGTTATTGTCCGGGAGCACAAGCCCTAGCGCCGAAAGGATGGTGTCTTCGTAAACTTTGAAGATAATGCTGGTGTCATTGTGAATCCAAAGGGAGAAATGAAAGGGTCTGCTATTACTGGTCCAATTGGGAAGGAGTGCGCTGACCTGTGGCCAAGGATTGCTAGTGCAGCCAATGCCATTGTTTAGGAGTGAAGATTGGTCTTGACCCTTTTATTGAACTTTGATATTCCAAATTTTGATAGGTATTGAGGTTGGTTGTATTATGTCTATTAATTAGATTTACTTTGGTGCAATCTTTGACTGTAGACAAGGATAAAAAAATTTGTTAACTTATTGCCATCATTTATCAGATGTTTCAGGCTGTTAATGAAATAATTTGCTTCCAACTTAAAAAAAAAATCATAAATAATATACAATTAATCAATTATTAAATATAATAAAATATCATTTTTGTTGGTTACTCACAAACCCAACTCCAAATTTTCCACTATCCACATCTTCACCACCGCTGAATATACATAATCATACTTAAGACACATGAGCAAATAAAATAGAGATCCAAAACTACCAAAGAACTTGTTGGTCCCTCACCACCTCTTTCCCCCTTTCTGTAAACGATGAAACCCTACCTCACCCACCGCCTCTTTCCCCTTTTCTTCTGGGCACTCCTCACCAGGCCCAAATCCTTTCATTAACTCCTATTTTAATCTTACTTGAATCCCCTTCTACCCTTTGTGCATTTTTGTCTTTTCCCTTTTGTCCTTTCCCGTTTGTTTCCACGGCAATCCCCAAGGAAACCCCTTTTGAAATTGAAAATGAGCTTACTCCTCTTGGCTTAAATGCTTGCTCGGTGTTGGGTCCATCAAATGGACAGGTCATTAAAGTGCTGCACAAAGCTTCTGAAAATGAATCTGATGGGAATACTACTTTCATGGAAGTTAACCTAAATGGAGCTGCTACTGTGGTGGCAGGATGCTCTATTCCAAGTGATGTTTATGTCGATGAGCGGTCTGCTGATATTTCTATGGAAATACCCACCGCAAAATGCGATTTCCTTGGTATGGCCCTTGATAATTCAGAGGGTACCCGGAGTAATGAGGTAGAGCCAGGTAACCTTGCGGAGCTAATGCTCAAAAATGAGATGCTAAGGACGATGGTTGAGACCAATAGGAATTTTGATCAAGGGGTTTTGAACCATAGGGGTTTGGCTATTGTTCGAGGAAATGGAAGAGGTCTATCACAAGGGGGTGGAAGGACTAACAGTAACACATCCACTTGGGGTAGCAGGGGTGATGTTGAAAATGGCCATGGGAACAGAACTAATGCAAGGCTGCTAGGAAAACAGAGTTTTGGAGCAACACTAAGCCCATTAACAGGTACTCCCTCCAACCCTTCTCTTAATCAAGAGACTTTTGCTAATGTTCTGGGTGAAAAGCAATCTGGCACATCTTGGGTTAGCAAAGTGAGGCATAACCCCAGATCAGTTATTGAGATGGAATTTATGGCCCTCAGCAAGAACAATAGTAGGATTACAGTCCAACCTCCCAAGTAGGTTGCTCAAGAGGGTTGCTCTAAATGGGAGGCAAGCATTGTGGGTTATTTTATTGGCAAGAAATTGCCTTATAATTTGGTTAAGGCATCTGCTTTGAGAATGTGGAGTACGAAGGGTTTGTTTGAAGTCACTGCCAATCAGGAGGGTTTCTTTTTCTTTAGATTTTCAAGCACTGGTAACCAGAATGAGGTATTGGAGGGTGGACCATAGCATATAGGGGNACTTGCAAAATAAATCAAAAAATTAGAAAAATATCAAACTAGAAATTAAGGAATCTAACACACTGAATCAGCTCCACTCGGCAGACGAAAATATCGAAGCAAGGATGTGGAGGATCGGCGGGCAACAAGTTTCGCATGTCGCTGGGTCTGTCGGTGGCGGCGACGGTTAACTGTGCCGATAACCCGAGCGAAGAACCTCTACATCATATCAGTGAAGGGAATCAAGGGCCGATTGAACCGGTTACCTTCGGCTTTTGTTGGTGATATGGTGATGGCCACAGTGAAGAAAGGCAAGCCTGATCTCCGTAAGAAGGTCATGCCTGCTGTTATTGTCCGGGAGCACAAGCCCTAGCGCCGAAAGGATGGTGTCTTCGTAAACTTTGAAGATAATGCTGGTGTCATTGTGAATCCAAAGGGAGAAATGAAAGGGTCTGCTATTACTGGTCCAATTGGGAAGGAGTGCGCTGACCTGTGGCCAAGGATTGCTAGTGCAGCCAATGCCATTGTTTAGGAGTGAAGATTGGTCTTGACCCTTTTATTGAACTTTGATATTCCAAATTTTGATAGGTATTGAGGTTGGTTGTATTATGTCTATTAATTAGATTTACTTTGGTGCAATCTTTGACTGTAGACAAGGATAAAAAAATTTGTTAACTTATTGCCATCATTTATCAGATGTTTCAGGCTGTTAATGAAATAATTTGCTTCCAACTTAAAAAAAAAATCATAAATAATATACAATTAATCAATTATTAAATATAATAAAATATCATTTTTGTTGGTTACTCACAAACCCAACTCCAAATTTTCCACTATCCACATCTTCACCACCGCTGAATATACATAATCATACTTAAGACACATGAGCAAATAAAATAGAGATCCAAAACTACCAAAGAACTTGTTGGTCCCTCACCACCTCTTTCCCCCTTTCTGTAAACGATGAAACCCTACCTCACCCACCGCCTCTTTCCCCTTTTCTTCTGGGCACTCCTCACCAGGCCCAAATCCTTTCATTAACTCCTATTTTAATCTTACTTGAATCCCCTTCTACCCTTTGTGCATTTTTGTCTTTTCCCTTTTGTCCTTTCCCGTTTGTTTCCACGGCAATCCCCAAGGAAACCCCTTTTGAAATTGAAAATGAGCTTACTCCTCTTGGCTTAAATGCTTGCTCGGTGTTGGGTCCATCAAATGGACAGGTCATTAAAGTGCTGCACAAAGCTTCTGAAAATGAATCTGATGGGAATACTACTTTCATGGAAGTTAACCTAAATGGAGCTGCTACTGTGGTGGCAGGATGCTCTATTCCAAGTGATGTTTATGTCGATGAGCGGTCTGCTGATATTTCTATGGAAATACCCACCGCAAAATGCGATTTCCTTGGTATGGCCCTTGATAATTCAGAGGGTACCCGGAGTAATGAGGTAGAGCCAGGTAACCTTGCGGAGCTAATGCTCAAAAATGAGATGCTAAGGACGATGGTTGAGACCAATAGGAATTTTGATCAAGGGGTTTTGAACCATAGGGGTTTGGCTATTGTTCGAGGAAATGGAAGAGGTCTATCACAAGGGGGTGGAAGGACTAACAGTAACACATCCACTTGGGGTAGCAGGGGTGATGTTGAAAATGGCCATGGGAACAGAACTAATGCAAGGCTGCTAGGAAAACAGAGTTTTGGAGCAACACTAAGCCCATTAACAGGTACTCCCTCCAACCCTTCTCTTAATCAAGAGACTTTTGCTAATGTTCTGGGTGAAAAGCAATCTGGCACATCTTGGGTTAGCAAAGTGAGGCATAACCCCAGATCAGTTATTGAGATGGAATTTATGGCCCTCAGCAAGAACAATAGTAGGATTACAGTCCAACCTCCCAAGTAGGTTGCTCAAGAGGGTTGCTCTAAATGGGAGGCAAGCATTGTGGGTTATTTTATTGGCAAGAAATTGCCTTATAATTTGGTTAAGGCATCTGCTTTGAGAATGTGGAGTACGAAGGGTTTGTTTGAAGTCACTGCCAATCAGGAGGGTTTCTTTTTCTTTAGATTTTCAAGCACTGGTAACCAGAATGAGGTATTGGAGGGTGGACCATAGCATATAGGGGGCCAACCCATTATTCTAAGGAAATGGCAACCTAGGCTTAAATTGCACTAGGAAGCTCTAAGGAAGATACCTGCTTGGGTGAAGTTCTTTAATATTCCTCATGAATACTAGACTCCCAAGGGTTTTAGTTAAATAACAAGTGCAGTGGGAAAACCGCTTTGCATGGATAAACTCACTGAAGAAGGTAGTAGAACTTCTTTTGCGAGAATTTACATTGAAAGTGATGCGGAGGAGCCTTTCCCAGAGACTTTTGACTTACTGATGCAAGGAGAAAAGGACGGAGATATTGAAACAGTGGAAATTAGAGTGGAATACAAATGGAAACCCCCAAGATGTGACCAATGCAAGGTTTTTGAACATAGTTGTCCTAAGATTCTAATAGAGCCTAGGATTTTGGTACAGGAAGGTACGTCATTTGCAAAAGATGCAATCCCTAATGGTGGAACCTTTAACCAATCAGTGGTTGTTCATGAGGTTGCAAAGGATGGAGGAAATATGAAGTCTTTGAATAAAGCCAAAGATAAAGGGAAGGAGAAATAACGAAGAGAAGGGTGGCCAGATTACCATTAATCTCCAAACAAGTCCTAGTGCTTTGTGTGGAGTTGTTCCTTCCCCAAACAAATTTCAAGCTCTAGTGTCTATGGCTCAAGGGGAGGAAGTAGTTGTTGCTAGTGATTTTGAACCACATAAACCAAGTACCATGCTTGACAAAATCAAGATGGTTGATGCAATTGAACAACTGAAGACTACTTCTACAAGGAAGAAGAACAGGAAAACAAGGGGAAAGCTCAAGAATCAGGCCAGTAGTAGCCTGGTGGTATCTCATGAGGGGATAGGTACTCCTCCAATTTCAAACCCTAAATGATACATATCTCATGTTGGAATGTAATAGGGCTAAATGACCCTCTTAAACAAGCTGAAGTGAGGAGACACATTAGTCAATCTGGAGTTGGGCTTTGTGGCTTGGTGAAAACAAAAATTAGGAGAGTAAATAATGAAAGGATCTTTAGAACTATGTTCCCTGGTTGGAATTTGATTAATAACAATGATTGGTCCACGACGGGCAGGATTTGGGTATGTTGGGATCCTCTTGTTTATGAGGTTGAGAAGTTGGACCAAAATAATCAGGTTATCCATTGTAAGGCTACCTACTTGGCCAACAAGAGAGTCTTTTTTCCCTCTTTTGTCTATGCCCAAAATACTGAAGTGCTTAGAAGACTACTGTGGCTTAGGTTGGTGCAAATGCATGCATATATGATGAATAAAGCTTGGGTAGTGCTGGGTGATTTTAACGTTGTGAGATCTATGGATGAACAGCTGGGGGGATGTAATGCCAGAGATAAAGGTAGTGAGGAGTTCTGTGACTGTCTTTTTAGAGTGGAGCTTAAGGATTTAAAGTACTTAGGTAATCAATACACCTGGTGCAACAAAAGGTATAATAGTGGTATGATTTCTAGCAAATTGGACAGGATCCTGGTTAATGAATCATGTGCTACTGAATTCCCTGCTTTCGAAGGTTTTTTCCTGGTTCCAGGGGTATCTGACCACTCAATGGCATTACTTAGACTTAGGGAGGGACAACCCAAGGGTAGAAGACCTTTCAAGTTTTTTGATTTATGGACCAAACATCAGGGTTTCTTTCCAATTGTGAGCAATGCTTGGAATACACAGATTAGGGGCACTCCTATGTTTCGAGTCTACCAAAAATTGAAGGTACTGAAGAAAGAGCTAAAAGAACTCAACAAAAATTCATATAGTGACATCTCCACAAGAGCTATGGGTGCTAAGCAAGCTTTGGATGATGTTCAAAGGAAATTTGATAAAAATCCTCATAATGAAGAAATCTGGGAGGAGGAAGGGAGGAAGCTTCAAGATTATGTCCACTTGAGAGAGGCTGAAGATAGTTTTCTTAAACAAAAATTCAGGGTCCAATGGTTGAACAGAGGGGACCAAAATACAAGGTATTTCTTTAAAACCATTAGCAAACAAAGAATCTAGAGGGGATTAACTACAATTGAGAAGGAGGACGACTCCAGAGTTACTGATATGAGAGAGGTTAAAAAGGAGGTGCTACGTTACTATGAAAATTTGTTGATTACTCCACACCCTCGGCCTCTGATTCCTATGCATTGGGTAAGGCAATTCATTACTCGAAGAATCTCTGGGCAGCAGGCTTGTGTAATGGAACAAATGGTTACTAGGGAGGAAATTAAAAAGATCATGTTCTCCATGAAGGAGGGCAAAGCCCCAGGGCCTGATGGTTACTTTGTAGGTTTTTTCAAGAAATCTTGGCATATTGTTGGACGTGGTGTCACCGATGCTATTCTTTCTTTCTTTGAGAGTGGAAGGCTGTTCCAAGAGGTTAATTCCACAATCATTGCCCTTATTCCCAAGGTTCCCAATCCCTCAAAACTTGTTGAATACAAACCTATTTCATGTTGTAATGTTATTTATAAATGCATCTCCAAGATTATTGCTAATAGAATCAAGGAGGTCCTTCCCGATTTGGTGGATAAATCACAGGCAGCCTTTGTTAGAGGCAGGAGAATCTCTGACAATATTCTGCTTTCATAAGAATTGCTTAGAAATTACCATTTGGATGAAGGGGCTCCAAGGTGCACTCGTAAGATTGATCTCATGAAAGCATACGATAATGTGAGGTGGGAGTTTGTATTAGAAACGCTTAGTCAGATGGGATTTCCTTAAAGGATGTTACTTTGGATTGAGACTTGTGTTATCATCCCTAAGTATTCCATTAGTATTAATGGCAAATTAATTGGATATTTTGCAGGGAAAAAGGGCCTTAGGTAGGGTGACCCAATCTCCCCCTACCTTTTCGTGGTTGTTATGGAAGTTTTTAATGGAATGATGAAGTCTATCACTCAACAAGGAAGGTTTAAATTTCACTGGAGGTGTGAGAAGAGTCCATTTCCCATCTTTGCTTTGCAGATGATCTTATGGTCTTTTGCAAAGGCACTCTTGATTCTATTAAAGCAATTAAAGAGGTTCTTCAAGTGTTTGAGGTCTTTTCTGGACTCAAACCTAATCTATCCAAGAGTCATGTCTTCCTATCTAGTGTGCATCCTGATATAAGAACAATGATTGTGCAAGAATTGGGATTTGGAATGGGGGAACTGCCTGTCAAGTACCTTGGTGTTCCTCTTATTACCACTAGACTTAAGGTTGTTGATTGCCATTCTCTTGTTGGCAGAATTACTGAGAGGGTTAGTTCATGGAGCAGCAAGTTCTTATCTTATGCAGGAAGGGTCCAACTGATTAATTCTGTTCTCTTTGCCATTCAATCTTATTGGTCCTCAATGTTTATCATTCCCAAGAAAGTCATTGTTCTTATTGAACAGATCTTGAGGAGGTTTCTATGGTCTAGAGTTTATTTAAAGTCTGGAGGCGCAAAAGTGGCATGGGATACTATGTCTTTACCTAAGCAAGAAGGGGGCTTGGGGATTAAAGGAGTTGAGGATTGGAATAGAGTTACTATACTTAAACATGTATGAAATGTTGTTTATAGTTCTGGTAGCTCATTATGGAGGGACTGCGTTGATACATACTTGTTGAAGGGGAGATGTTTTTGGTCCGTTAAGATTCCTTCAAATTCCTCCTGAGCTTGGAGGAAGATTTTGAGCTTGAGGGATGTTTTTAAGCCCCTTGTTAACTATAAAATTGGTAATGGGAACACTGTTTTTCTTTGGTTGGACCCTTGGCATCCTAAAGGGCCTATTTATGCTAACAGGGGGGATATAGTTTTGAGAGCTTCTGGACTAGGGATGGATGCTAAGGTATGCAACATTATTGATGAAAGGGATTGGGCTTGGCCTTTGGTTGATCATGTGGACCTTTTGGAGCTGAAAAGAGGGATTCCTGCTGATATGACATTGGAAATGTATTTAAGGTGTTTCACTAGTGACAAGCCCAAGGAAAGGATTGTCTAGCTACCATGGGTGGAGTATTGTTATAACACAAGTGTGCATGCATCCACGGGGAAGACGCCATTTGAAATTGTTTACGGCCGAGAACCTCCAACGTTGCTCTCATATGTGTACAAGCACAACACTACTAAGATAAAAGTTGTTGAGAAATTGTTAATGGAAAGTGACAATGTCATTCGAGAGACAAGGGAAAATTTATAAGTGAGTCAACAACGAATGAAGCGGGGTTACGATGCCAAGCATTCGGAAAGGGAGTATCAAGTTGGAGATTTTGTTTATTTGAAGCTACAACCTTATCGCCAACTTATAGCAGCTCAACGAAGGAATCAACAACTGGCCCACAAATTTTTCAGACCATTTAAAATTTTGGCACGCATAGGAAAGGTGACATATCAGTTGGGGCTTCCATCCGAATCTAAGCTGCACGTCGTTGTTCACGTTTCTTTACTTAAAAAAAGGATCGGAGATAATGACAAGTTTGAGCCTATTTTGCCTCCAATTTCGGATGAACAACCCACTCATCCTTTACCTCAAGCAGTGTTGAATTATAGAAGGATAATTGGACAACAAGAAATTCTGGTTTTGGCAGAATCTTTCTCCTTTAGAGGCTACTTGGGAGAGAACAAAAGACTTCCAGACCAGGTTCCCTTACTTCTTCCTTGAGGACAAGGAAGATTTTGAGGAGGGAGGAGATGTTAGGGGCCATCACGTGGAAGTGGAATCAAAGTCCTAATAGAAGAATGCTAGTGCCTTCACATGGCCAACATTAATAGTAAATATATTAGGAGTATAAGATAGGAATATATATATTAGATAATATGAGATTTCTATTGGGATAAGGGATGAGGTTTATCTCTTTCCTGATTTATATCTTTCCTACATTTTCTCATTTCTAGTTTATCATCTAAGCCAAGTTCTTCTATTTAAGCTCTATGAGCTAATGAATAAAGGCATCGTAAAATTTCCATCTCAACCTTGTGTTGTACAAAGAAAGCTAAGGTACCTCAAATTACCTTACTAGGAGGCATAGAATCCCTCGAAGGATTCTAGAACCCCTTAAATCTTCCAAAACAGGAAAACTTTGCAAGATTGATCCTTGCACACTTCCAATGAATAAACCCATTACTAGATCCGTTTCCAAGCAATACAACATACAGTTTGTTATATTTCATTTGCCTGTTCCTTTCCACACATGAGGCAGTTGTGGCATTTACTAAGTCCATATTCTCAAGGCACTAAAAAATATATCAATTCAATCGCCTGACAGTCACGATTTAGGATCCCACATTTAGTCTGAGCTAGAAAAATCTTGTGTTTTGGAACTTTGAGCTTTATGAGAGCCCTAACATGCTTGATCCAACAAAATCTACTTATCAAGCATAGTAGTAGCAAATGTACATAGGAATTTATGTGTGATTAACCATCACAAGTGCTATTTTATAATGTCTAATGATTGGTTAATTACATATTATTTGTGATTAAATGTGTTAAATTCCTTGATTTTCTAATTTGATATTTTTTCTATTTGTTTGATTTATTTTTTAGGTAAATTGATTGATTTAAAGTAATAATATATAACGCAACTGAAACAATCACTAGAGGAAGAATCACAATTAATGAAGATTGAAAAGTCAAGATTAAGATAGGAAGATTTGAAGATAAGGTGACAATTTAATCTTTATAAAATTTCAAGTTGGAAGAAAACTCATTTAAAGTTGGATTAGGAAAGTATTCTAGAAGATAAGAATTTGACACGTCTTCAGTATTTTGGTTATATCTTTTGACTTCGATATTTGATTGACCTGATTTATTTGGAGTTCGAAAGAAGACTTTAAGGGCTATAAAAGTGTATTTCACAAAAATTTTGTGATTTGGCCTCTAAATATGCGAAATTCAAACTCGAAGTCTGAACAAATTTTGCCCCCGCAAACCCCAAAATTTTTCGCATGGGATTTAACCTTAAAAGATTTCTTTTTGAAAAGGAATTCCTCTCAATCCAACCCTAGATCTCCTACGTATACCTAGTTTTATTTTAGTATAAATAAGTATTCTCATCTATTGAGAGATGATGATTTAGATGATTTTTATTATTCTTTTATTATATTTTCTTTTCTAGTTTTTGTTCTAAGTTCTATAACTTGCTAAATTCCCAACTAAAGTTAAGGGAGATACTTTCAATTAAACATAGCCTAGAATTACATAGGGGGTGCATTGGGGAATCTTTGACAATTGGCAAACACCTTTCTATTTTGTTTCTACACCGCCTTCAGACTTTTTATACTATTTTTACGTGTTGAATCATCTGGTTCAAGGTGTTTCATTTGATGGATCTTAAAACTTTTAACTCATCACTAGATATGAATATAACCAGAATGCAAAGAAACAATTTATGTTTAAATATGCGTCAAGGAGCATTAGCCCTTATTTCACTGGTGTCAACCCGACACGATAATCAAATAATTGGTTTATATTTGAAAAAGGTAAAATGAAATAGCAGAGAAATTGACGATTTGAGATTTGAACTTCACCTGGAAAGAGTGAGAGACACTCTCTTATTGAGTTCATGTTGTGATTTGTATGTGCGATGAACAATCGATGAAATAAAATAATAGAAGAAGAATGCAAGAATTTACGTAATTCAGCAACTTGTCTACATCCACGATTCTAGAACGACTACTTTGTTTAATTTTTCACTGAATCAGCGTTATAATTTAACTTATATATGTTACAAATCTAATTAAGGCATTCTGACAATTGGCCGATTATTCCCTTAACCCTAATTTTCTAATACTTTATTATTCTTTGGGAAAAGTCAAAAGGCACCCCGTTTATCTACTGTTGAACGATTTTGTGGTATCATGCCCATCAAACAAAGATTTAGATGTTTTTAGTCTTTGACTTCTTCCCTCCCCCAAAATATATAATCACCCTTTCATTGAGTTTAGTTCAGCTATTTCACATTGTCCATGTCAATTTTTTTTTTTGTCTAATATTGGTTCTAAACAATATTTGTATTAAAATTATATACATTCAAATCACGCATACACCAACTAATAATTCCTAAAAATAAGGTGATAGATAATTAATTAGCCAATCAATTTTTTTTCGTAAGACATCAAAAGTATTGTGCATAAATACTTTTTGTACTGCATAAATATGAAGTAAGATGAGAAAAATTCAAGTTCAAATTGGAGGCCCCAAAAAATTTTTCTTTCCATTTGAGGCCTTTGGCAGCCCCTTAGTGGCGTATGCTTAGGGCCAGCATTGCAGTGTCACGCACTTTGATTTTGTTTTTCCATTTTAATTTTGATTTTGACTTTTTTATTTTAATTGTTATAGGAAACTTTTTATCTCTGATCGATTTCTGAATTTTCTATTTTCTAGGTCTTTTATTTCGATTTTGATTGCGGTGAAGATTATGTTACTCCAATTTATTTTTAGTATGGGAATGGAATTGAGGTTGTATGTGCGGTGGTGGTGTAATGAGTAGAAGCGANACTTTTAACTCATCACTAGATATGAATATAACCAGAATGCAAAGAAACAATTTATGTTTAAATATGCGTCAAGGAGCATTAGCCCTTATTTCACTGGTGTCAACCCGACACGATAATCAAATAATTGGTTTATATTTGAAAAAGGTAAAATGAAATAGCAGAGAAATTGACGATTTGAGATTTGAACTTCACCTGGAAAGAGTGAGAGACACTCTCTTATTGAGTTCATGTTGTGATTTGTATGTGCGATGAACAATCGATGAAATAAAATAATAGAAGAAGAATGCAAGAATTTACGTAATTCAGCAACTTGTCTACATCCACGATTCTAGAACGACTACTTTGTTTAATTTTTCACTGAATCAGCGTTATAATTTAACTNCTGAAACAATGAAAACCTTATAATCTTACTCGTGCTGAGAATATTAGCTTTTCCTTGACCTCTTTCTATAATTTGGACGTGAAGTAATCATATGCATATGTTAGAGTGAAATATGAAGAGGGGTGATATAAGAAGTCTCATGTTCTCTTATAACTCAACAATTCCCTTTGTAAGTCTTTTTTCTCCCAATTAAACAAGCCACTAGAGAGGTAATGTAAGAGTGTTTATCTTCCACGACAAAGTGTTATGTGCCAAAGTGAATAATATGTATCATGCATGATGAACAATTTGTTTTATGAATAATTAACTACTTTTTAATTGTAATTCACATGGAAAGGTTTATCAACATAGACAATGGATCAAATTCAATAAGATGTACCTTCATTATAAGAGAACATGAGACTTCTTATGAAGAGGGGTGATATATGTTACAGTGAAAACAAAATGGATTCAAGAAACCAAAATTGACACTGTTCACACTACAGAACTACAAAGTCTTGTAAAAAGGAAACTAGAAATACTAGGATATAAGCAATGAAGTGTGCAAATAAGTATCAAGAAGATTGGAAAATATTGAAAGTTAGTCTGTAAAGTAAATCAGACGTCTTTTACCTGTTTCGATTCGGGAAACAAACATAAATTGGCCCAAAAACATGAGGTTATGAGCATACTTATAAACATCAGGGAAGTAACTTGTTACCGATCCCAACTACTAATTAACCTTTAATATTTTCTCTACCGAGTTCATGTAGGAAAGCTATACAATGATTATTTGTGCAACTAAATTGTTATATAAATTACCAATTGGTTCATTTTTATGTAAATTATCAATTGGTTAATTGAGGGCAAGCAATGAACACTTAGCTCCACTTTTTACTTTCATGGACTACACAAGTAGAATGAATAAATGGAAATTTTAACACAGTACAAAGCATTCCCTAACATTACGGGTACATATAATCAATAATCTAGATAAAAGAATTACACATTAAGCAGCTTACGAAAACTATCGATAACAAAATAGTAACAAGAGGTCATCCATACTGCAATGAAATGAAGCCATGCCCTTTCCCAGTCAGGGTTCACATAAAGAACTGCTAATGTTCCTAACAACACCATTATATAAGACACAAAATAACTCACATGAAAAACATCCATGTCAATGAAACCACCACCATTTTGCTCATCCTTTGAATCCTTTTGAATTGACAATGGTTCTTGGATATCGGTGCAATTGTTATGTGATGGAGGTCCACAAAGGTAAGGATTTCCCTTGTAACTGCTCTCGTCAAATGTAGCAAACTGAGCTTTGAAATCTGGAATTTTACCAGATAAGTTGTTATGCGCTACACTGAAGACCTCCAAGGAGTTCAACTCAGTAAATTTGGAGGGGATACTTCTGTTCAAGTGGTTATAGGAAAGATCTANTTGGTTAATTGAGGGCAAGCAATGAACACTTAGCTCCACTTTTTACTTTCATGGACTACACAAGTAGAATGAATAAATGGAAATTTTAACACAGTACAAAGCATTCCCTAACATTACGGGTACATATAATCAATAATCTAGATAAAAGAATTACACATTAAGCAGCTTACGAAAACTATCGATAACAAAATAGTAACAAGAGGTCATCCATACTGCAATGAAATGAAGCCATGCCCTTTCCCAGTCAGGGTTCACATAAAGAACTGCTAATGTTCCTAACAACACCATTATATAAGACACAAAATAACTCACATGAAAAACATCCATGTCAATGAAACCACCACCATTTTGCTCATCCTTTGAATCCTTTTGAATTGACAATGGTTCTTGGATATCGGTGCAATTGTTATGTGATGGAGGTCCACAAAGGTAAGGATTTCCCTTGTAACTGCTCTCGTCAAATGTAGCAAACTGAGCTTTGAAATCTGGAATTTTACCAGATAAGTTGTTATGCGCTACACTGAAGACCTCCAAGGAGTTCAACTCAGTAAATTTGGAGGGGATACTTCTGTTCAAGTGGTTATAGGAAAGATCTAAACTCTCAATATATCTTAGGTTGGAAAATGTTGCTGGAATTGATCCAGTGAGAATGTTGTGGGATAGATTTAACATGTGGAGCTGATTTATGTTCCCAATTTGTGGTGGTATTTCACCTATTAATTGGTTGCAAGAAAAATCAATTCCTGACATCAAATCGAGGATACCGCCCTCATAGGAATAGGATATACTCTTAGTAGTAAACTCCACCTTTTCTTTGACACTCCACAGGGTTATTGGATTAGGATCTAATGAATACTTAAAGCTCTGGGGAGCTGTTTGGTAATGGGGTATGTGGTATTGCTCTCACATCAATGGTCCAAAATAATAAACCTGCTTAACAAAATATTTGGCATGGTTTGACCCAAAAGTCATGTTTGCCAGGCAACGAGGAATAGAACTAGAAAGACTATTCTGAGAAACATCGATCAGGCTTATTTGCTTCAAGTGGCATAATTCAGTGGGAATGTTGCCTCTAAATAAGTTACCTTTCAAGATAAGAACATTCAATCTAGAAAGGTTGCCTATCCAATCTGGAATTTTACCAGTTAGGTTGTTATATCCAAATGAGAGTTGTCATAGAATGCACGAGTCAATGGACCACTCAATCTATTTTTACTTAGATGAACATGAGTAATGTTTGGAGGGTTAAAACAAGCTGGTAGAGAGCCTGACAAGCTATTTTCAGAAAGATCTAAAAATTGAAGCTTGTCAAGTTTGCACAACTCAACTGGAATGGGACCTTGAAGCTGATTTTTGGCTAAGCTTATTTCCAACAACGATGACATATTCCCTATCCATTGTGGAAGCACGCCAGACGAATAGTTATTTCTAATATTCACAGCCTCCAACCAGGAGGCATTAGACAAACCATCTGGTATCTTTCCAATAAAGGAGTTGTTGTCCAAATATAACCATTGCACACTGGACAAATTGAAGAAATTGGCAGGTATTCGACCACGCAAGCAATTGTTTGATAGTTTGAGGAAAAATAAGTTGTTAGCCATGGCCAAATGTTCTGGTATTCCTCCAGACAAGTTATTGTTGGATAAGTCTAAGACATTTAAAGACCTACTATCACCAAAAGAGGGAGGAATATGACCTTCAAACATATTATTGGACAAGTTCAAACTCTCTAAGCTTGGAAAGATCACATTTAAATTTATAGGAATTTGACCATTTATGCAATTGTTAGAAACATCTAATTCCAAAGCAAGAGGCCTAGGATAAGAAAAGGCCTTGTGAAAGAGTTATGTTGAAGGTGAAGTGCTTCCAATTTGGTATTGTTCTCTAACAACCAGGTGGGAAACTTCCCTGATAAGTTGTTGCNTGTTTGGTAATGGGGTATGTGGTATTGCTCTCACATCAATGGTCCAAAATAATAAACCTGCTTAACAAAATATTTGGCATGGTTTGACCCAAAAGTCATGTTTGCCAGGCAACGAGGAATAGAACTAGAAAGACTATTCTGAGAAACATCGATCAGGCTTATTTGCTTCAAGTGGCATAATTCAGTGGGAATGTTGCCTCTAAATAAGTTACCTTTCAAGATAAGAACATTCAATCTAGAAAGGTTGCCTATCCAATCTGGAATTTTACCAGTTAGGTTGTTATATCCAAATGAGAGTTGTCATAGAATGCACGAGTCAATGGACCACTCAATCTATTTTTACTTAGATGAACATGAGTAATGTTTGGAGGGTTAAAACAAGCTGGTAGAGAGCCTGACAAGCTATTTTCAGAAAGATCTAAAAATTGAAGCTTGTCAAGTTTGCACAACTCAACTGGAATGGGACCTTGAAGCTGATTTTTGGCTAAGCTTATTTCCAACAACGATGACATATTCCCTATCCATTGTGGAAGCACGCCAGACGAATAGTTATTTCTAATATTCACAGCCTCCAACCAGGAGGCATTAGACAAACCATCTGGTATCTTTCCAATAAAGGAGTTGTTGTCCAAATATAACCATTGCACACTGGACAAATTGAAGAAATTGGCAGGTATTCGACCACGCAAGCAATTGTTTGATAGTTTGAGGAAAAATAAGTTGTTAGCCATGGCCAAATGTTCTGGTATTCCTCCAGACAAGTTATTGTTGGATAAGTCTAAGACATTTAAAGACCTACTATCACCAAAAGAGGGAGGAATATGACCTTCAAACATATTATTGGACAAGTTCAAACTCTCTAAGCTTGGAAAGATCACATTTAAATTTATAGGAATTTGACCATTTATGCAATTGTTAGAAACATCTAATTCCAAAGCAAGAGGCCTAGGATAAGAAAAGGCCTTGTGAAAGAGTTATGTTGAAGGTGAAGTGCTTCCAATTTGGTATTGTTCTCTAACAACCAGGTGGGAAACTTCCCTGATAAGTTGTTGCGAGAGAGATCAATTACTCTCAGGTTATTTTGGTAATATAAGAAATAGGGTATTGTATCAACACCACCACAATTTGACAACCTAAAAACCTTCGGTTGGAATTTTGGAATCCAGGATTGAGATTCATCTTCTATCGCTGCTACGTTATTATCACTTAAAATGACCTCAAGCTTTGAATGGTTAGAAAATGAGACAAATGAGGACTGAATCATGAAGTGGTTATATGAATCGAAAAGGTATTCAAGTGAAATGAGACTAACAAGAGGAGATTGGGCAGTATTCCCATGGAACCTACTGAAGGAGAGATCCAATATACGGAGAGATGGCTCCGTATATTAACAAAACCTTTAGAGAAGTCATCACGCCAATTTTCTGAAGAAAGCTCCCTTGGATGAATGAATAATCCAATTTTAAGAGCTCCAAGTTGTAGAATCCACCCAACTCTATATTAAAAATAAATTCGAACAGAATTATATATGAAATCAAGATGACTAAACAATTAGTATCTCATGATAGAAGTAGTACTTATATGATAGATGATCAGATACCAGGCACCAAGAAATTTTGAAAATTACACTTCTTACCCCCGAAAGCATCACTAGATGTCTAAAAAATTGAGTACCAAATTTTCATGTAACGTAATTAAAATGGAGTATTATACATTAATTATGTATAAAAATCGAAAAATATAAAGAATACCAAACAAAAATTGTCGGACAAAGCAATAAACCTGTTTCTTTAATTGAGGTTGTAATATAAAAATTGTAATATTTTATAATGTAAATAAAGAATCAGAATATCTTTTAAGGTACAAAGTATCCTTCACACTAAAATAAAACAAAAATTCAATTATACCAAATCAAAATAAAATAGTGTAAGGATCACCATACTGGACCTACCTACCTTCACCACTATCAAATATGAAAAAACCTTCACCTAAGAGAGGAGAACGAAATGGATGTTGAAAAACAGTTTTTGAAGCTTTGGACATAAAACAAATTCAGTTTTAGTGTTTGAAGTTACCTATACGTTCAAATTCAACAAGTCCACACAAATTCGTTATTGAATCTTTTATTAGTCTTGTCTTCAACTTTTCAAGTTTACAAGTTCTCCTTAAAAACTTAGCCGAATTAAATATTTTAATCTCATTGGTCTTACTCTCAAAAAAACGAAAAAGGATGGGCAAAAATAAGATTAACCTATTGGCCCCGTCCCTCGGGGGTGATCATCAACAGTAATTTCCCTTCCCTTTTTCGGTGACCAAACCCTCCACGCTGAGATTTAACACCCTAAGAGATGGCAATGCTCCTAGTGAATGCAAAACACTAGCATTAAATATGTAGTTGCCTTTCAAGCCCAGAACCTGTAGCTTGCTCAAGCTCTTCATACCTGAGTGCAAAATATTACAACGTTATCTATAGTCTCTACTTTGAGTTGAACCCTGCAGATGAAGAGAATGAACACAACATTCATTCGACATATCATTTATACCTCTTATGGTCGTGAGGCTGTCAATTTGGTTGTAACTCAAGTCCAACTCCTCCAGGTTGCTCATAGAACACAAGTCTACATATAAAACAAGATATATTTGTTATGTGGAAGTTCACTAGTATATTATTTCTTTTGATGGTAAGCATACTGATCTCTTAGGCTACTGCACTATTTCATTGCAATTCTCTGGAAAGTAAATTTTGTATTAAAAAGAAACTTTACAAAGCAAAGTCACAACATAGTAGCAAAACGGGTCATGAAAGAAGCAAAAGGTAGCAGAGATGCACCACAAAAGAATTTATGGGGAAGTATAGGCCATGGTCAGTACTTCCTACAAATTCATAACCTCAGCATCCAATGGAAAGTGAAAAACATTACAAGAAATCCCATAATTGCATAAGTCTAAGGTTCAAAACAGAGATCTTGAACCTGACAGAGAAAAGCCTATCCTTAATGGCTTGCTTGATGACCAGAAGCAAGGAGTTCCTATCCCTATATTGGTTGGCATAAATTTTGAACTTCCTTTCCAACCAAATGTGGTAGACAGTGGCAAACAAACTCAGTTTTAAAATCACAGAAAGCAAGGACTTCTTCTTCCAATTGGTGGCTGAATATTCAATAAAAGGAGACCACGGTGTTGGTGTCCATTGGATTTGACTACAAGCCAGGATAGATGTCCATAAGCCATGAGAATAGGTACATTCAAAGGAGAGGTGAAAGTGGAATTCAGGGTGACGCTTGCAAAGAATGCATTCCAAGCTAGTCTGCTTAGAAGGATCATGAATTCTATCTGTTGTGATCGTGCAGCAATTATGGTGAATAGTAAGGAATCAAATAATTAAGAAAGCAGGAGAAAATAACACACAGAGATTTACGTAGTTCGGCAATGTGCCTACATCCACGAGAGCGAGCGGCCGTTCTTTTCCATTATTAAAGTAGGGTTACATCTTAAGTATTTATATAACCCTAATATGGACGTATTTACAAAAATACCCCTGTACCGTACCGCAGGGGCGTTGCCCCTGCACCCCCAACTAATCAGCATCCCCTTTATATAAATCCCGCTCCGGCATCTACCTCCTTGCCATTATGCACACAGCAAATATAAGTCACACATACTCTAACAATCTCCACCTTAGCAAATATTCACCCCTTAAAAGAAAAAAAGAGGACATGTATTCAGGAACTCTACCGGGGACGCTAAGTTGAGGCATCTCCCATCTAGCAACTAGAGACATTAATCAAGTCCAAGCAGTGCTTGAACTTGTCTGTAGTAACAAGCTTTGTCAACATGTCTGCTGCATTCTCAGAAGTGTGAACTTTCTCAAATAATAGTTCACCAGAAGAAACGAGTTCCCTGATCTTATGAAACCTCACATCTATATGTTTGGTCCTCGCATGATACACCTGGTTCTTTGCCAAATAAGTGGCACTCTGACTGTCACAATGCAATTGAACTCCACATTGCTGGGCACCCAGCTCCTTGACTAAACCTGTAAGCCACAAAGCCTCTTTGGCAGCCTCAGCTACTGCCATATACTCTGACTCAGTAGTAGATAGTGCAATTATAGGCTGTACCATGGACTTCCAACAAATAGGTCCTCCCACAAGAGTAAACACATAACCTGTGGTAGACCTCCTGTCATCCAAGTCCCCTGCATAGTCTGCATCCACATATCCCATAACTGAAGGGTCACTCTGTTGTCTGCTAAACCTGATGCCATAGTCTGTAGTGCCCCTCAAGTATCTGAAAATCCACTTGACTGCATCCCAAT